TCATTGTGGTCAGTAATGGCATACTTTTACGCAAGAGTCAGTGGGTCTAGTTTTACGCCGCTTTTAGCAACATTCCAGCAATATCAGCTGGGGACACCAGAAATGGGTTTCGCACATTGCACCCATGTTGGGAATCGAACCCGGGTCTTCGGCGTGAAGACGAACGCTTTAACCACTAGGCTACCCCACCGTCTGTCAATAAGCTTAGATGGCCATAGCATATAGGTTACTGGTAATTCAAGCAGGACAGCCTTACCAGGAATAACGAGTGGCGCGTCAGAGAAGCTGTACGACATACAGTATGCCATTACTTATCTGCTTATCAAATTACAAAGCCTGTGGAGTATTCATAGTCCTATCGCTATCACATTATGCGCTATCGATCTTCATTTCATTATCAGGTTTATCTGTTTTAATGGACGAGAGATCAACTTGTGTACTAATATAATGTAACAGATACCACAGCGGGTGTTCCCATAGCTCCAATCCGAGATTAATGAGATGGGAGCTGGGACATTTTCGTCTATTCTTTTAGTACTTGTCTTTGAACTTCGTGTATAATTTGGATGCAAATGACTATTTAGTGTTGCTGTATTCACGTTTGACAATGACATGGAGAGGATAGGGCAAGAGTTACGGGATAGAGATATCTCATGTTTCATGTGGAGTATGTCATGTGGTACCACTTAAGAGAAATTTGTGGGTATTATGAGACAGATATGTGATTAGTAATCTGATATGCATCAATATTTGTGATATCAATGAAATATAGGTACAATATATATAGTAAGTCTGGATAAAAGTTTAACATAAAGTTTAACGGTTTTGCTTTATTTCGTAACACTTGTTGGTATTTGGCTATTTATCAGCCATCTTTTGTCTGCTTTGGACAAATCTGGCTATGGAAATGTTGTTTTGCCCATTGTTTACACACGCTCCCCTTGAAGTACAGTGAAGTAGATTTAAGTTGGATGATCTCGGCTCTGTTTTGTATTTGTAAATATGAAAGGCCCATGCCAGAGATTAATCAGTCTCGATTACCCATTGGTGTTTCTGTGTGTTTGTTGTTTAACGCTGGGTGAGTGAGTGAGTTTAGTTTTACGCCGCACTCAGCAATATTCCAGCAATATGAAGGCGGTCTATAAATAATCGAGTCTGAACCATACAATACAGTGATCAACAGCATGAGCATCGATCTACGCTATTTGGAACCGATGACATGTGTCAACCAAGTCAGCGAGTCTGGTCACCCGATCCCGTTAGTAGCCTCTTACAAGCATGGGTTACTGAAGATAATTCTAACACGGATCATTACCGTAATTGTCATTTAAAAAGGATTATTTGGAAAGTCCGTTTTGTCATGATAATGCCAGAAAATTGCTAAACGCAGTGTAAAACTCACTCACTCTTTCGAACCAGGGTCTGCGGCGTGACGAGCGAACGCTTTAACCACTAAGCTATCCCACTGCCCACTACAATAAAAATGTAGTTATCGTCTTGGATTTTTCTGCGTGCAATGCTCCAGTGATACACACATCCGAAACACACACATATGTGTTTTCTCCTGGGACACTACACGCAGACACGTACAAAAAATCAATGTGATATCACTTAGCAAAGTACAATGTTAAAGTACAGATTTAGGGGAAAGCATGGCACCAAACACAATGGTAACGACTGTTGTCTACCTCAAGAAATAATCAATCTCTGTTGATAAATTCTGAAACCATTCCCCAAGTGATATTGTCACGAGGAACATGTATGCTTTCTCCATCCGCCTGCTTTTCTGCCCTCTTTGGCATAAGTCTTCGCCGTTGGTGGCCATCTCGTATATACACTCTTCAGACACATTTGCACTTTGTGGCTTAGAGAGAGTGAAGGATGTCCCATATATGTCTACCATTGATACTTTGAAAGCTTCTGGCTTCTGCACCTTACCAAAGCATTACTTGAACTTATCATATACTTACTCATAGAAGCCAAGACCCTCCCAGAATATCAAATGGTCGCCTCCACAGGTTAGTAAGTGAAACGTGCTGTTTCAACCTACAGTGGCATTCCAGTGGCTGTAAAATATAGTCAGCCATGATCTTCGTTGGGCTGCTTTGATCTTTGACAGGTCTCACGAGGACGCTGTAACTGGCGCATAGCTGGACCTGTAGTCTGTGGAACTCATGTTTTCTGTGTGAGGTAGCTCAAAAAAGTATCATGACGTATTTAGAGATGGTGGTTATGTTTGACATCTGTTTTCTGGATAATACTTTAATAATGACCACGATATTTACACGGGCATCTTACCATTATGTTTGGTTTGTTGTTTAACATCGTAGTCATTGATCTCGCCCAAGAGGCTAAGTGAGTTGCATTTCATTGTATGTATGTTTCACCCTCCGTGATTTTCATCGCATTATATATGTTCTTTAATGTTTGGCTAATTTGCTCCATAAACGCAACACTTGAAACGATGGTGTAAATCCAGCAAGGGTCCATGCAGGTAGCAAAAGTACTGTCAGTACCCATGGTCCCTAGTATTGTGATCAACCTTCAGTTTCTGGCGATCTGTAGTCCGTTTTTATATTGTACGATTATTGAAAGATACACGCTAGTGTTTAAACCATACCTGTGATATTTTACTGACCTCTGTCGACAGATTGTGCAATCGAACATAAATTATTATCACCAGATGTCTTGTTTTAGTCACGATAAGGCTAAAATATTGCTGATGTCACAATCAATCTTAATTCACACATTCACTTATCGAGTCTATTCAAGGCAATCCAGTGATTGATATTATGAGTAACGTCTAACGCCGTCGAGGTACAATTACACACACTAGACCAACTTGCCGCTCATAACCAGGATTAATACTTGGACACTTATTCCAGACCGGTACCCCCGGTAATTGTCGGGATAAAACATGACATGAAATTAATAATTCCGTAGCCAAGGTCAACTCGGACAAAATCAAGTGATACAAAGGATTTCAAAAGGTCACGTACAATTACGTTTACCCTTTAATCACACCCGGGAGAGTATTACAGTTATATCGCGTTGATTCCGTGGGTTCCGGGTCGTAGACGATATGCAGCGGGCTTTCATTTGGCGGAAACCACCTGGATGGCTGAAGACAGATCATGGATCATAATCAAGGAACTTCTGGAATGTGACCTAAACATCCAGCATGTCCTTGCATGGCTCAGGGACAAATTAGGAAACAGAGCACAGTTACCTACAAAGCCAATGTTAAAAGCCATTCATGTTTAACCAATACGCCGACATAAAAGATATTATAATATAAAAAACGTATGTCGGCATATTATGTGCCATCATACAAAGGTAAATAAAATCAACAATCTACTGACTGACTGACTGAGTGTAGTCTTACGCCGCTTTTAGCAATATTCCAGCAACATCACGGCGGGGGACACCAGAAATGGGCTTCACACATTGTGCCCATGTGGGGATTCGAACCCGGGTCTTCGGCTCGACGAGCCAACGCTTTAACCATTAGGCTACCCCACCACCCCTATCAACAATCTAAGAAAAGATTAATAGTAATAAATCTACAGCTGTATGTCACACAGAAAGTGGACATCAAGCTTCCGTCCACATGTATCGGTAAACAACAAATTATTAAGCACACATTTAATGATATGTGCCAGGAATATATGTCACTGGTTTTAACCAGCAAACGTGCCGAGTTAGTTCCCTTTACACAATGCAGTTTGATAAACATCGTTTCGTTTTATAAACTAATTGATTTTTGTGCAAGTTACTTATGATGTGATCCGATTGCTTTCAAAGTGGGGTACATCAAACATTTCACCCCGCCGGATCATGAGAGCATGCTACATGGCAAACAGCTGATTGCTACCCAACTAAAAGGTAGTAGTTTTGTTGGTATATTCTAACATGAACGTAACACAGTGAACAGTAGAGGCCGTTTCGAAATTGATTTCTGTTACAAAAATCATTAGATCCAGAAATCGTTAAATATTTGATAGTGCAACATTTCGATTCTGAAGAACCTTTGAATGGACATATAATCATTTATTTCAATATGAATTCGTTTTTTGCATTATTCTGATGATGTTTTCCAATACATAAAATGATGATGTACCAGAATGTCACTCTTTAATTGGCCCGAGAATGGACGAGCCGTCTGAATGAAAATACGAGCTTCTTCCTCCGTGATCGTGTGTTCCGTCCTACGTATGATGGTGTCTTTGTCAGCAAAACACCTGTGTTTTTAGGTAAAGGTTTACGACATTCGGTTTTCCTACAACAGCTTATACACAAATAAAAAGCCCATGGCCGCGTTCAACTCACTCACTCCAGTACAGATAATCCAACTTGGCTAAAGACACGTTACAAAGAAATTGAATTTTACCTGGATAAAATGCTGTATTACTTTGGGCTTTCCTCTACGGCATCCATGCTGATACACCCGTTTCTGTCAGTCACTCACTCACTCACTCATTCACTCACTCACTCTGTCTGTCTTTCAGACTATCATTCATTCTCTCACTCACTCATTCGTTCATTCATTCGGGGCGGCGGGGTAGCCTAGTGGTTAAAGTGTTGGCTCGTCACGCCGAAGACCCGGGTTCGATTAGCCACATGGGCACAATGTGTGAAGCCCATTTCTGGTGTCCACCGCCGTGATATTGCTGGAATATTGCTAAAAGCGGCGTAAAACTAAACTCATTCATTCATTCACTCATTCATTCATTCATTCAAGCAAGCAAGCAATCATGCAAGCAAGCAATCGAACTGACCCGTTTACTATATCTACATCAAGCGTACCAAGGTATGAAATATGAAAGTCATCAGCGTCAGCGATAAACATCCCGCTCATCTTACAACAACAACAATAGTACTAACCCATTGGTTTGTCACGTGGATGTGAAACACTGGAGATGATAGCGTCTGACAGGTCAAGTTCTGCCCGGACCTGTACACGATGACCACCGATGTTGCAATCGGCTGAACAAAGGGCGTTCTTCGCCCATAAATAGCCTCATTTCATCCATGATATCCAGTCCTGTCAAACATGACGTCCCTCGGTCAATGTCTGCTCTTTTTGTCTCTTTGTTTAATCTCTGTCAATGGATATTATCCTTCCGTGTGTAAGTATTGCGCCTATTACCGATACATATTCAGATGCAGCGTATATCATATGACACTATTCTTGTTTCAAATTCAAAGTGTACATTGCATGTACGTCAGGACGCACCTTATATTTACGGTGTTGAAAATGCATGTGAAAATCAGTCTCATGGTGTACATTTCATCTAAATTCGAATACTTGAATATATTCCTCTGTTCACGTAAATGTTCAACCAGCTTGAACTGATCACAACAAATAATTTAATGCAACATATCAGTAATTGTTACATTTGTTACAAAAATAATTATAAAATGTTTAGGTAATATGTATATCTGTACATATTTTATTACACATCTGGTGTCCACATCTGGTGATAACAATAATACTTCATTCAGATGAGTCGAAAAATATATGTTCAGCTATCCTTCTGGTCAGCTGATGACTTTTTTTACAAAAGCGTTTGATGACACCCTCGAACACCCGAATTTCAGTGATTGTCTGTATTTAATTTTTTTATGTTTCAAGACCAGAATGTGCTCACTAACACCCGGTGTCAACGCTAGTGATAGTGATTTAGAAACGCAAGCTCTTGCTATAGTCTAAATCTTACAATTGAGTTTATTTTAGTGGAGAGCTCTTATGGAAGTGGAAGGGAACAAACTTCCCTTGGAACTGAAAACATGCCATGATTTTTCATCTTTCAATACCGCACATTCATCTGTTTCGTCTCTCTAATTCTTTTAACTAAGAACTTTGCCTTTCTCTTATCTTCCAGCGATTTCAGCATGCTAATGTGTATAAAATGCGCTTAACATGTGGGCTATTATTATCTATATATTATTACTGTTTGTTTAGTATTTGGGTACTTACGTCTATTTAATAAAATATATATGCATAAGAATTGAAAAATATGCAATTTTATAGCGATTTGTTGTTTACGCCCAGTGCAGTCTATTTGGCAGATGATGAAGGCTGATGCTCTGGTGGTGACGTTTTACATTCGTATTGACAGATTACATGGACGAGAAATGCTCGAGAACTGTCTCCTTCTCAAAGGACATGCGGCTCAAGCTGACCTTGTTTTCAAACACACATCTCAATTATAACTGGCAGTGCAGCACGACTATTCGGACCACGACACCGGGAGACAGACTGTTAGTGAACATCAGGTCGATGAACACCAGGTCATCCATTGGCTGCACTCGGAACAGCCTGAAGATTATGGACGGCAGTACAGTTATTAATGGCAAGTGCGCTTTGTTTATTAGTCGTTCTATTGGTAAATCATTATTCAGTGGTTAGAATGGTTAGCGGTAACCAGTGATAGTCACGATGCCATGGTTGGGGTTCTCGAGGACGTCCAGCTTGTTACGTCAAGGCTACCATCATTGGTCTTGTGGAGGAGGCGTTCAACCAGATCGGATGGTTCGTGGTTCGGATCCACACATGGGAGTCTGCAATTTCAATGGCTGCTACATTGCTGCCCAATACAGGGTTGAGAAAAAGTCTCACAACCTTATTGAGCACCCGTACTTGGCTTGTTTGAGTATTAGAAAAGCGTGGAGTCATCCAACATATCTTACGTTCTCACTTTACTAATAGGTTTGACCTCTTTGGTCATGTGGACAAGGTGTCTTGGATCAAAGGTCCATGGTCCAAATTCCATCACAGGGCATTGTCCGATGTAAAGTAGCATTTTGACATATGTGAAAGATCAAGTGACACATATATTCATATCTTCAGGATTTGTGGTGAGACACAGGACAATTAGAGGGTCAAAGGAGATAAGATAAAGATCAATATACAGATGCACCCAAAGATTGTTGATGTTGACAACAACTGAATATGTTGAAGTTCACCCAAAGATTGTTGATGTTGACAACAACTGAATATGTTTAACATAAAGTCACATTGTAACTATTGGGATGGGGCGTGAGGGTAGCTTAGACAACTATGACTTCGTTATTGAGTATACCGAGTTACGTACCTTGGTCATGCCAGGATCGTATAATCGGTTTGGTTCCCGATTCCTCTTTATTATGATTCTGTTTTATGTGCACTTATAGATTCACAAAAACAGTAAAATATTTTGGAAATTCCTACATTAAGTAGAGTTGCGTTAAATTAAATATCATTCATAGGAACAACTCTCGCACGGCTTTATTCATCCTGAGATCCAGACTTGACAGAAGTTCTACAATAAATTATTGTTTCAGGAGTAAACGGAGACTGTGGATATGCGCCACTTACGACCTATACGTCAACCACAAACTCACTCACGTTTAAGTTCACCACGGATGGCAGTTTCCAAACTGGTCAGTTCGACATCCTTGTGACGTCATTCAAGAACGCACTACTGGGTGAGTTTACAAGGTCAATACCATTACCTTTAATTGTTATTTCTGAAGCTGTAATATAAATGAACGCAGAGCGTTCATTATTTAAATACCCACATATTAGTACCCTTATGAAGCAAGGTTGACCATTTTTATGGGTCCGTGTGGTTGTATTATAAATTGGTTTTTTCTGTGTGTTTTTTTGCACAACACTGTCGTATGGTAACCTGGAACTGTGTATATCTGTAAAGGTGCATGCATGTTCATGCAAGCGAAAACATAATAACAGGAAACAGACTCAAATCGACACATTAAACATTCCCATTTGTAGAGTAATGTTCAGGAAACTTCAGGAATTTTTTCCAGTATTTTGAGCATGGAGGGTATATGGGAATAGTGACAATTCCAAAGTAACCAGTTATAACTAAGTGTACTTTTAAGGCATCTTATGCTACAGTCCAGCAATATGACGACGGGGACACAAAAATGAGCTTTAAACATTGTATACATGTGGGGAACCAAATATAATGTTATATCAAGGTGGAGTTTTTACAAAATGTGTCTTCCGTAAGCATGGGTACAATGTGTGAAGCCCATTTCTGGTGTCCCCCGCCGTGATGTTGCTGGAATATTGCTAAAAGCGGCGTAAAACCAAACTCAGTCAGTCAGATAGTCAGTCTTCCGTAAGACTTAAATGAGTCTAAAAGTATTAACATACAGTTAAATCCCAATGAGTCGAATCTCTGGGGACCAAGTAATAAATTCGACTTATCGATGTATTCGAGACATAGGTATGTCTATGAGGGTGGAAAAAAATATGATCCAGTCCTAATCCCTCCGCCTAAGCATGTGTTTATCTAATGATTTCCCTATCACTAATAGGGGCACCTTATCAGTTCAGTCTGATTAGCACAGACAGTGATTTCCGTAAAATCATTAATCTGCCTTTTGAACTCACCCGTCAAATGCGGAAAGGTGTGAGCCGCGCTGGTTTGTTAATTGGATCAGTTTGCTACACCAATCAACTTCTCATTGACTGACTTCGGCTTATGTTGCTGTTGTTTAAATCTCATGAGACCAAATTTTCTTCTCGAGTCATCGTGTGTATTTATGAGACGAATTCGTGTAACCGGAAATCAAATGATGACAACTATAACAGGGAATGGTCGGGACCGACAGGTACTTCGAGTTATGCATAATATTCGAGACATCGGCATTCGACTCATCGGGATTTGACTGTATATGACTTATGGCAAAGGTAGTGGTACGATACACAAGCTGTAACATTACATTAATTTATATATTACATTGAGATAGTCAAACGCCTTGTTGGAATCTCTAAGGACATTAACAGCTGTGCCGGGATTCAAAGGTCGATCGACGGTATTTTGTCTGCCTTGAAACGACACGACTTACTGTCTTGTCATATTTTAGTTGTGATGTCATTTGGACATTCTAGTAAACTGCCGAACTATTTCTAAAACGATTAAAACATCTGTCTTATTCATCTTAAAATATTGCTAAAAGCGGCGTAAAAGTAAACTCACTCATTTTCAAATTTGATACATCGGTGACAACAATAATGTCTACAGGTACATTACTTTGTGTTGCATTTACAGGTGTATGCACAGCTAATCGCTTCATGTGTGACAACGACCGTTGTATCAGCAACACCCTCACATGTAACGGCTACAACGACTGCGGAGACGACACGGACGAAGACTACAACTGCAGTACGTTCACCACGGGTTCCATCGCAGGGATCGCTGTAGGAGCGATAGTGTTTATCATTATCCTTGTGTCCCTGTCCATCGGTGCCAGAATCTACAGAAGACGACGCTGCCTTGCCGCGGTGAGTACGATTGTTGATTACGAGGGGGCAGACTAGAATGGGGCAGTGACGACAATACATTGTGACGTAATGCAAAAAGTGCACATTATCGTCTGATAAAGTACTGTCGGCGCCTTTGATCTTTCACCGAAGCATCTTAGAATGTCGTTTAACGCCGCACTCAGCAGTGTCCCAGCTATAAGGCGGCGGTCTGTCAAAAATCGTGTCTGGACCACACAATCCAGTGATCAAAATCATGAGCATCGATCAATGCAATTGGGATACAATGACCAAGTCAGCGAGCCTGGCCACCCGATCCCGTTAGTCGCCTCTTACGACAAGCATGGATTGCTGACGACCAATTCTAGCCCGGATCTTCACGGGTATGACTGCGAAACCCGGATAGGATACCGAATCAGAAACTCAAAAAGCTGTCAGTATAGTGATACGTGTCGATTCCCAAAATGAAAAAAATAAGTGAAGCCAGAATTCTACCAGCAAAAGTGAGTAAGTATAGTCTTACGCCGCTTTTGCAATAGTCCAGCAACGTTACGGCGGGGGACACCATATATGGGCTTCACACATTGTACCCATGTGGAGAATCTGACCCGGGTCCTCGGCGTGACGAACGGACGTTTAAACCCTCTAGGCTACAACTCGGCCTTAAATGTTTGTGTGCAAGAGGATTGCTTTGTTATCAAGGCAGCTGCTCTGTACGTCATGCAAGTAAGTAGGTGAGTTTGGTGAGATGGGGAACGTCATAAGTGAGCTAATCCAAACTATTGATTGATCACTGGATTGTCCGTTCCAGATTCTATTATTTACAAACCGCCATCATAAAGCTGGACCATAACTAAGAATAACGTTAAACCAAAGTAAACAATATACTAGTAGTTGATGGCTATACAAAAAGTGTCAACAACGTCTTCATCTCATGCGTAAACTGAGATCTGTGATGTCATCTTTTTATGTAGCATTTATTCAGAGTATTTTAACATTTTCCTTCCATTGTTGGTACGGGTCTCTCTCACTTCATCTCAAATCTAAAATAGACAAAATTGTTAACACTGCAAGTCAAATTTGAATGTTTATCATCAATATATGAGCGGCAAATCGTGAATCAAGCTGTCAAAATCATATCTGACCGTACTCACTACTTAAATTCGGAATACAACCTCCTCCCTTCAGGCCGCCGCTATAAAACTCCACTTGTGAAAACTAAGAGAGCCCGTACATCCTTTATTCCAAGTACCATATCTCTCTTAAACAAATGTGAAGATACCTAAATCAAAGAATTTATGTAAATATGTTTGGTATCTCTCTAATGTGTCAGTAGCTCTGCTGATGTAACACAAATTCCTGAAAAGGCATTAAAGTATTATTCTATTCTATTCTAATCTGATCATACCTCAAAACTCAAATTCACAATGTTTAAGAGCTTTGGATTATGTTTGTTTTGCGTTTTTCAGTCTTATCCAATATTTGCAACTATTTTATGTTCCACAGACTCACTGTCACGCCAGCCCACCATCATGTGCTCCAGCAAGCTACCCTTCTAAGATGGCGTACGGATATTGATTGTGCATTGTGTCTGACACAAGTGTTTATCTCGATGTTCTTGTATTCTTGACCATGGACTAAGGTTTCAACCATAGCTAGGTTCTGAAACGAAACTTTGAGAATCTTCATCTGCAAAGACCAAAGCATGGGTTTGTGGACTTGCATATCCTTATAATAAAGTTGTTTGTTATATATGCATTGCTTTTATTGTGATTAAATTCAACACCATTATATACTGACTGACGGACTGAGTTTGGTTTTACGCCGCTTTTAGCAATATTCCAGCAACATCACGGCGGGTTACACCAGAAATGGGCTTCACACAATGTGGGGATTCAAACCCGGGTCTTCGGCGTGACGAGCCAACGCTTTAACCACTAGGCTACCCCACCGCCCCTCATTATATACACATGCTTGGGATATACAGTGGTCTATAATTGTTTTGTTTGTTTTAACGCCGCATTCAGCAATATTCCAGCCATATGGCAGCGGTCTGTAAATAATCGAGTCTGGGCCACACAATCCAGTGATCAACAGCATCAGCATCAATCATGATGAGTGAGTGAGTAAGGTTTTACGCCGCTTTTAGCAATAATTCCACCAAAATCACGGCGAGGGACACCTTAAATGGGCTTCAAACGTTTTACCCATGTGGGACATCGAACCCGGGTCTTCGGCCTGACAAGCGAACGCTTAAACCAGAAGGTTCACACTGGTCCCTTTCCGCTATGATTGAGCTGATGGAACTGGAATGGTGTTCAAAGTGCCGTAAAATCATACTAACTAAATTGCCAAAAATGTATTGCCACAGATACACTCCGACTTATAGCTATCGCCCATGACCCCTTTCGTCAATATAACAGATACCAATATTAGCAGCACTATACAAAACAAAACCCCAAAACATGAATTGTTGTCTTGTGGACAAGATTTGAGATATCAAATTTAAGCGACAGAAAAGTGCTTTTGCCTTACATCGCACTGCAATACTCCTGACAAGCGACGGCTGAGTGGAAATGAGCATAATGGAGCGGAAATTTTAGTGACACGTAATTACTTTAAGAGCAGTCCATTAAACGATTCCGACTTTATCATGGGCACATATCATGAGTTACTATTGAAATAGTGATAATACTAGGTGTTCACGAGTAAATGAGCGCATCCTGCTCCTCCAGTCGCACCGCTATAAACACACGCAAGGCTTGTCAATGTTCCACCTGAATAAGCACGGGAATATATAGCATAAAGCAAATTAGGTAATTGCATTGACACCACTTTTGTCACTTTTGCATCACATTTAGAAAATGTACTCCATATATTAAACCTCAAAACTTTATGAAAGCTTAACGGAGGTCCTGAATGTTGTAACCATGTTCGACCAGCTTGTGAGCAAGAGTAGTATGAATCTTAGTGGAAAGAGCATGATCACTTGTGCCTCACAAAAGGCTGGAGGAGAATTTGAAGCCATTCCCCTTGTCATACAGTTTTGTGGAGAGTTTGTCGTCCCTGAGTCTGTATTCGTCGATATAAATATGGAAAGGTTGATACGACCCCTCTGTTCTGCTTAATTTCCACTGTAGTTGAGGGGGAACATATCAGTGCAAGGGAATTGGCTTTTTGGTGGTTATTGACGATATTAGATCACTGATATACCTGAAACTTTGTCAGAATACGTTCTTTGACTCGAGCAAGAAGTCTGATTCATGAGCTTGAGGAACCAGGTCGGCACGGAGTGGAAAAGAAATGGTGCGCATATGTGATACCTTCTTTTTGTGTTAATGTCGTGAGGGGTGGGGGTTGGGGTGGGGGTGTTTAGTGGGGTAACCTAGTGGTTAACGCCGAAGACCCGCTCGTCACGCCGAAGGCCCGGGTTTGATTCCCCACATGGGTACAATGTATGAAGCTCATTGCTGGTGTCCCCCGCCGTGATATTGATGGAATATTGCTAAAAACGGCGAAAAACTAAACCCATTCACTAACTTAGCAGTGTATGGAATAAGCGAAAAACCCAGCCAGACATCTGGGCTGTTAACTTCAAAAACTTACCAGCCCAGAAGAGATTAAACCAGTCCTGTGGACACGTTATCTGAATATTTTTTTTCACCCGTCCTTCGGGTTGTCTAGCTGTAAAATTAGACCGTCCGGCAGAAATCTAGTCCCTCTCGGGCGGTCGGACGGGCCTTATTTCATACACTGCACTTAGTGTCTTCCACAAATTGTCCCGAACCTCAGAAGATAGATATGTTACTGTATATACGTATACGGTTATACTACGTTTGTAGCAAAAGACCCTTATTGCAAGGAAACACTCTCTCTCTCTCTCTCTCTCTCAATGGCCGAGTAGCCAATACATCCCAGATAATAGCATTACTCACTTACACTGCATATTTCAGTTACCTGTAACAACATATAGAAGTTCAGGGGTGAGTGATTGTGAGTGTGTTTAGTTTTACGCCGCATTCAGCAATATTCCAGCTGTATGGCGGCGGCCTGTAAATAATCGAGTCTGGACCAGACAATCCAGGGATCAACAGCATGAGCATCGTTCTACGCATTGGGGATACGATGACATGTGTCAACCAAGCCAGCGAGCCTGACCACCCGATCCCGTTAGTCGCCTCTTACGACAAGCATGGTTACTGAAGGTACATTCTACCTTTACGGGTTAGAAATTCAGACGAGATGAGGAAGTAGAATAAGGTGGTGAAAGATAATAAGAGCCTTATTTAAACCAATCGAAATCTTTATATAATTCTTGAAATGATGATATAAAAATATCAGAAATTTGGCTGTTACCCGGGTTTCGGTGTTGCTGCTGTTGTTGCATCCTCGATAATCTCCAGGGTATACGTTACGATCACTCTCCACTATACCCTGGATGCATCCACGGCATGGCCCGATGATTTTTTTCCCTCCCTTGGCTGGCTTTTTATCCAATCAGGCGTCTACGCTGGGAAGTTGAGCGAACCAATCACAACTTACACACTTTCGCTTCTTAAATTATCTAACCGTTTAAACTTGGCAACACAATTGATGCAGAGGTACTCTGAAAGAGGTAGAAGTTCTTTTATATATTTTTTGAAAGTTTCACATCTGTCAATTTGTCTGTATTATTTCCCACAAAATCTGAGTGGTACTGCGAACTAACCTTCGGGACTGCGACCTCTATCTTTGTTGACACTGGCAAACTCGGATGTAACGGTGGCTTAGCTGATTGGCTACTGTGAGAATGCGGAGCCAGCAAAGGGAGGTAATATAATTATCGTGCCAAGCCGTGGATGCATCCAGGGTATAGTGGAGAGTGATCGTAACGTATACCCTGGAGATTATCGGGGATGCTGTTGTTGTTGTTTGTCTGTTGTTGCTTGAGGGAATTTGGATTATTCTGTTGTTGTTGGTGGGTTTTTTCTGCGTGTTATGTTCTTGAATTATTCTTGTTCTGTTGCTGGTGTTATGTTCTATTTTGTTTTGGTTGTTTTTGTGTTGCTTTTTGTGTGTGTGAATGCGTGTGAGTACGTGCGTATGTATGTGTGTGTGCGTGCGCGCGTGCAAATGACGAAAGCCCTAGAAATTGTCCGAAGTCGAGCGTACGAGCACAGTATTGCCACCTGTCCAACTACATTCCACTTCACGTTACTTAACGTAACATGATCTGTTATTTGTAAACGCGCAGGTATTGTCAGGTTACATTTAGTTACAAACTTGTTACACCTTTACACTATGGCAACTAAATATGTGTAATGTATTGACTACATATATGGTTACATATACGCTTCATGTATGTATTTCAACTGTGTTGGAAATACATCCGTGTTTGTCTTTGTTTACTTTTGAGGAATGTATATGCCAGAATATATCAGTAAGTATGGTTACTTTGGGTGATTCATGAGTATTTCAGTTTTATGATCGCTTGTCTGTTTTTTTAGTGGGAGGGAAGCCCGAAGTACTGCAGGTTTTGTTGAAGTTTGGTTGTTTACGCACTCACCAATATTCTCACTATTTGACGGCGGTCTGTAAATAATGGAGCCTGGATCAGACAATCCAGTGATTAACAGCATGAGCATCGATCTACGCAATTAGAATACGATAACATGCGATCTATCATTACATTTGTCAACCAAGTCAGCGAGCTTAACCACCAGATCCCGTTAGACACCTCTTACGAGAAGCATGTGTTGATGAAAACTAAGTCCAACCCGTATCTTCACGAGTAGGTTTTGTTTAAACCAATAAGCACACGATTATGCCATCAAACACATTTTGGGCCTTAACTTACGATATTACGATTCTGTGATGCCCGAAAACACAATAAATATCGCTGACCTACAGTCAATAGAATTCGAAATATACCTTGATTCACATGTATTGCTTTTCATCTCAACATACCGTGCACATCAAAGGTTAAATACTTCACAAGTCAGTGAGTATGTAACCGATAAGGCGATTTGACCTGGGTTAGCTCATCGTTGTGTCGCAATGTGTATTATATATTCCGCCCCCATACACAGCACTTGTCAGGACACAAGGTCCTAACATGGCGTCTTTCTATCACTATGCCTCGTTGATGGTTCTCTGGGTAGTACACGTGAATGGATATATCCCCTCTATTTGTAAGTATGAAAACACGCGCACACAAAAACATATCATGTACGAGTAGCGTCTGAATAAGGGTTTAAGTCGCTAAACAACACATTGGACCAATGTAGGGAATCGAACCCTGATCTTCGGCGTGACGAGCGAACACTTTGTCCCTGAAGCGACCCCCCCGACCAGTGTAAGGTATGAATGTAGATCTTTTCATTCACCCGGGTACCTTTACCTGTGTAATTATTAATGAATTTATTGTGTTTGCAAGAACATATCGTTGTTTGATGTCCTAGGTTTCTATGAATGTATAATTTGTTTGTATTGATATTTATTTACGCGCTCACTCAGGGAATGTAATGAATAGAAATGCAAGACAAAGAGATTCCACATTTACATTGATAATGAACAGTTCTGGATAGAAATACACAACAAAGAGATTCCACATTTACATTGATAATGAACAGTTCTGGATAGAAATACAAGACAAAGAGATTCCACATTCACATTGATAATGAACAATTCTGGATAGAAATACAAGACAAAGAGATCCCACATTTACATTGATAATGAACAGTTCTGGATAGAAATACAAGACAAAGAGATTCCACATTTACTTTGATAATGAACAGTTCTGGATAGAAATACACAACAAAGAGATTCCACATTAATATTGATAATGAACAGTTCTGGATAGAAATACAAGACAAAGAGATTCCACATTTACTTTGATAATGAACAGTTCTGGATAGAAATACAAGACAAAGAGATTCCACATTTACTTTGATAATGAACAGTTCTGGATAGAAATACACAACAAAGAGATTCCACATTTACTTTGATAATGAACAGTTCTGGATAGAAATACACAACAAAGAGATTCCACATTTACTTTGATAATGAACAGTTCTGGATAGAAATACACAACAAAGAGATTCCACATTAATATTGATAATGAACAGTTCCTGATAGAAATACAAGACAAAGAGATTCCACATTTACTTTGATAATGAACAGTTCTGGATAGAAATACAAGACAAAGAGATTCCACATTTACTTTGATAATGAACAGTTCTGGATAGAAATACACAACAAAGAGATTCCACATTTATATTGATAATGAACAGTTCTGGATAGAAATACAAGACAAAGAGATTCCACATTTACATTGATAATGAACAGTTCTGTATAGAAATACAAGACAAAGAGATTCCACATTTACATTGATAATGAACAGTTCTGGATAGAAAAACAAGACAAAGAGAGTCCACATTTACATTGATAATGAACAGTTCTGGATAGAAATACAAGACAAAGAGATTCCACATTTATATTGATAATGAACAGTTCCTGATAGAAATACAAGACAAAGATATTCCACATTTACATTGATAATGAACAGTTCTGGATAGAAATACAAGACAAAGAGATTCCACATTTACTTTGATAATGAACAGTTCTGGATAGAAATACACAACAAAGAGATTCCACATTTACTTTGATAATGAACAGTTCTGGATAGAAATACACAACAAAGAGATTCCACATTAATATTGATAATGAACAGTTCCTGATAGAAATACAAGACAAAGAGATTCCACATTTACTTTGATAATGAACAGTTCTGGATAGAAATACACAACAAAGAGATTCCACATTTACTTTGATAATGAACAGTTCTGGATAGAAATACACAACAAAGAGATTCCACATTTACTTTGATAATGAACAGTTCTGGATAGAAATACACAACAAAGAGATTCCACATTAATATTGATAATGAACAGTTCCTGATAGAAATACAAGACAAAGAGATTCCACATTTACATTGATAATGAACAGTTCCTGATAGAAACACAAGACAAAGAGAGTCCACATTTACATTGATAATGAACAGTTCTGAATAGAAATACACAACAAAGAGATTCCACATTTACATTGATAATGAACAGTTCTGGATAGAAATACAAGACAAAGAGATTCCACATTTACTTTGATAATGAACAGTTCTGGATAGAAATACAAGACAAAGAGATTCCACATTTATATTGATAATGAACAGTTCTGGATGGAAATACAAGACAAAGAGATTCCACATTTACATTGAAAATGAACAGTGTGTGGCCATCCGCACCAATAGTTAAATGCATGGAAGTCCTCGTTGGGTGTATTTTCCCCAGTAAATTCAGTAAGTCTGACTCACAGTCACTGAACCGCATTATTCTTCCTTCCGCCTAGCCCTTTCTTCAATGCTAAATCCCTAAATGAAGCCAGTTGAGATTTCCTCTGCTTCCTAACCCTCAGTTCAAATCGTAATAGCGTCAAGCCGTGATAAGCTCAAACACTGCGGAGTGCAAGAACATTATTTATGACTAACGTGATTCTTCTCAGATTACATGGACACCCGGTGTTCGGGAACTCTGACACTGACAAAGGACCTGCGACTTAAACTGACCTCCCTGCCCAGCACCCCTCTGAATCAAGGTTGGCAGTGCTCCTTAACTCTCCGGAGCACTACCCCTGGGGACAAACTGATGGTAAACATCAGATCGTTCAACACAATCGGGACCACTGCCTGTACCAGGAACAGTCTCAAGATATATGACGGTGCAAATACACAAACAAGTCTCAATGGTAAGTAAGATTAATCATTTGTGTAAAATCTTTATTCATTCAGTGATCCATTCACATTGATCTTTCATCTTCACCTTTTGCATCCGGTGAAAACTATTTAGTTAAATGTTTTCTGTGTTGACGGTCTGAATACAATTATTAAAAGGCGTCAGTGGAATATTGCTTTGAAAAAGTTTTATATATATACTGAACAAATTAAGTTAGGTATCATTAATATTTTCGGGATAATCATTTGAAAGTGTTGAATCACTTTTCACGACAAAATAAAGGCGAAAATATTTCATGATTCCTGATCTGAACGATTAAATTGCGTGAAAATGGAGTCAATAAAACGAAATAATAGTTGATTTTGAAATGTGACAATATGGACTTAACACATGGAAAATGTTATCAAGATAATTTATGCGGCGTAAAACCGTATTCATCTGTAGCAGTATAATGGGCAGTGTATGTTAGTGGTCGATATTTGAATAGCATTGTGTTAATATTCATATGTTTGTTTTGTTTCTTGGTTGTTTATCGCGCACTCAGCAATATTCCAACCTTATGGTCTGTAAAAAAATCGAGACTGGACGAGGTAATGCAGTTATCGACAGCATAAGCATCGATTTACGTATCTGGGATACGATGACATATTTCAACCGAATCAGCGAACTTGATCCCGTTAGTCTCTTACGACACGCCTGGATTGCTGAAGATCAATGTTAACCGTTAACCGTGTCTTCACGGATCCAACTTTTTTATACACGACCTTTACATTTATAAACATTTATCTTGCCTCACACATAAATGTCGTTCTCTGATTGGCTGAGCGCTCTTCTATTATTTTCAATCTACCCCGCTTACAAGCGAGTAACATTTTCTATGTACCCCGCTGGGAATGCCGAAATCATTTGGTACTTCGTAGTAGTAATCTTTATCTCGAATAACATTGAATCACGTATGATGTGCGGAAATTACCGAAGTTTTGCGAATGCAAATCGATGGATGGGAGATAACTCTAAATTTGTTTGTCTTGTCGTCTTGTCGTCTGGTACTCTGGTGTTCGAGAAGCACGTTCACAGACAAAGTTATTTATTCATTAACCTGTGCTGTGCCGTCTCCATCCGTTCTCCAACACCTGGCTGTCCCTTTCTCTGCACTCCTTCCTCGTTACAAATAGTGAACTGTGTCAATATTTTAATGATAGATTGTTAAACAACTTTTATATTTTTTAGGACAAAAATTCTGCAAAAACTTCACAGAGTGGGTATCATGTTTTGATTATGATCAGCGTTTCATTGAGTATTTTATGTTTATTAGTTTTCGAGTTAGATTGCAATTCATCGGTCCGCTTTTGAGCCAAACGGACTATAGGGGCCCATGGACTGGCGTACCCTCGATGTTTCTTTATGTTCCCCTCGCCCTAGGGAAACATAAAGAAACATCGAGGGTACATCAGTCCATGTCCCCCTCGTGACCAGTGAACAACTTACAGTATATAATATTCTTAGTCGTAAAGAGTCTTAAAAGCATTGCTTTCATTGACATTCATCGACTGTACATGATATACCAATGTCAATTTCGTCATTGATATGAAGTTATGAACTGTTTGGGCGAACAGAAACAAAATTGAATGATAGCATTTACTCAAATATATGTGCACAATGTACGGCGTTTTCTTGTTTTTTCCACATTTTTAATTAATATTTTTCTTTTGTTTTGTCATTCAGAGTACATGTCAATGTACCCAGTAAAACACCAACAACACGCCCCTACGCAAGGTATTGCTTAAAGCGGCGTAAACTACACTCATTCAGCTTTAATTAATCATATTTGCGCATTTTCTGTTTTATTATGTTCTACACACTCAAGACATTCTATGATTGTTTCAGGATTTGACGGGGACTGCGGGACTGTGTCAAGCAAAACATACATCTCTAGCGGAAACACAGTGAAATTTGTGTTTCAAACGGAAGACATTAATCAGCAGTATGGCCAGTTTGACATCCTGTTGGTGTCGTTCGGTGAGCATGGTGGAGATATCTGTATATCTACATATCTCTTTTAATATGTGCAATAGTAATTAGTCGATTGCACATTTTCAGAAAATAAACAAGTGATTCTACAATCATTGACTATATTATGAGCATTTTTTTTTTTTATGTATTGCTTATATTCCGGGAATTATGCCCATAGACAGTTGTACTTACAGTTTTGTTGATCTTTATAGGTACTTGCACAAAAAGTCGCTTCAGGTGCGACAACGGCCGCTGTATCAGCAAATACCTCACATGTAACGGCTTCAATGACTGCGGCGACAGGTCGGACGAGAACACTGACTGTGGTAAAAGCAGTTTGGGAACAGGCCCTATAGCGGGCATTGCTGTAGGCGCCATAGTTTTCATCGTGATCGTTGTCGTCCTGGCTCTCGTCGCCAGACATAGGAGAAGACACTGCGTTACTGATGTGAGTATGGACAGGGAAGATATGACGATAACGGCCGTTTGTAACGCAATGATGATACTTCGTTATTTGACACGCTTGAAGATCAGGGCTAGAACTGGTCTTCAGTACCCCATGCTTGTCGTAAGAGGCGACTAACCTTGGTTGACACATGTCATTGTATCCTAATTGTGTAGATCGATGCTCGTGATGTCAATCGCTGGATTATCTGGTCCAGACTCGATCATTCACACTCCAACGCCCTATAGATGGGGTATTGCTGAAAGCGGCGTTAAAAAACCAACAAATAGAGCCGTCAGGGAGTATAGGACAAGACGCTGCAATGCTGACTTGAGTACTGGGAACAGATTTAATGGTAAAGAATGGACAAGAACATACATTACAAGCGTCATTGTGAATCACATTAAAGTACCGTTACAACTAGTCTGTCGTAAAGACCCTGAAGCAAATATATCCAAGAAAGCAAGAAAGCAAGTCTAGAAAATGTGGCAAGTCTAGATTTCCTGCAAGAAAGTCTCAGGGTTCCTTTTCATTAATTATTTTTTTTACTATGTACTTTTTTCAGTACATTATGTTCAATTCAGAGGCTAGTTGTTAGTCTAGGTCACAACGAACTAAAAGGGGTCACTAATTGTTGTTCATTATAGCCATAATTCGTTGTAAGCATTTCGAACTAAAGGTACACGAAGTAGCCGTGATCAATAAGCACGGAAAACAGTTCGTTATAACAGTGAGTTCGTCTCAACTTGTTCGTTTACTGACTCTCCAAATCTAACTTTTGTCTAATGTGGCTCCGATTTTGCAACGGAACCTTTGCTTTGATGATCGATGTGTGTCCACAAACTGTATGCTTATTCAGGATCTTAGTAGGCTTGAGTGTACTTCGTTTGGAACAACTTGGAGCAATTTTTTAGTCAAGGTAGGAACCACGAAGCACAAGCATGGTGTTGACAAATTCAGATCAACAACCCATGGTCAGAGAACAAAGGCATTTCCTTTGAACTGTCCAAGCAATGTGCCGTATCGTGTAATACTCGTCACGAACTAGTTTAGTTTCCACAGAGATTCCCAAACGTTTTCAATCTTGGAAAGTAAACTTATAAGTTCCAGTTATACTTTCTTCTTTGAAAGGGTCCCAATGGTCCCTGTACGGTGATCTACCTTCAGTTGTTGGCAATCCATAGCCTGTTTTAATATTGAATTGTCATTTATAGGTAAAATATTTTAGATTTAATTACTAGTCTTAAATTTATTCCTGTAATAATCTAGTTATTTTACTGTCCTTCGTTGATAGGTGTTTTATAATGTAATTGTGTTTATTGTTAATTTATAACTTTGTAAGTCACAATATGGCTGAAAAATAGCCGATGTGACTATAAATTTTAACTCAATCACTCACTCTTTGAAAGGAAAATGGTCAATTTTACTAAGTCCTCGTGTGTCATGAAACGTAAACATCAAAGGCTGGAGGTGTAGGAATATTGCTCGACATACAGGGAAAGTTGACTGTTGAAAAGTTTAAGAAGACCATTTCTCTTGTCATAAAATATTTCGCATTTGTAGTCATTTGCATGAAATAGTTTTATTCCTAAGAAAAACTAAACAAATATCACATTATATTACTGGAAAACTAGAAATCTGGACTAAAACTACAGTAACATGAATTTATAAAATCTCACCTACACATGTAAATCACTCTAAAAATATCACTCCACCATTGAGTGTCACAAAAATACAATCGCAAAAATGTGCAGTTTTCTGTATTCCCTTTTTATAGACTAAATGCTGAAAAGAACATATTTAGAAATACTGTTTTTTCACATATCTTGTCTTAAAATGCTTCTGTTTCACAGACTCACTGTCACGCCAGCCCACCGCCGTGTTCCCCGTGTACTCCAGCAAGCTACCCTTCTAACATGCCCTATGGATATTGATACTCACAGCAAGCTACCCTTCTAACATGCCCTATGGATATTGATACTCACAGCAAGCTACCTTCTACCATGTATTACGTTAATGGAAACTACATGTAACAGCAAGCAACTGCCGTTTAGACACGGATTTCAAGTCTTCTTCGGTCATTAGACACCACCGATTTCCATACAAGTATCCGTACCCAAAGACTTTCACCAATGGTCACATCCTGATACAGGGAACTCTCCATCTTCATGGGGGAATATATCTATTTTAATAAAGTCTTTTCCTTAAAACTTGTCTGTAATTATATGCAGTTAGATATATTGCGTTAGTAGTTATAATTAGGTGAGGTGAGGTGAGTTGAGGTTTACGCCGCACTCAGCAAAATCCCAGCTATATGGAGGCGGTCTGTAAATAATCGAGTCTGGACCAGACAATCCAGTGATCAACAGCAGGAGTATCGATCTGCGCAATTGGGAACCGATGACATGTGTCAACCAAGTCAGCGAGCCTGACCACCCGATCCCGTTAGTCGCCTCTTACGACAAGCATAGTGGCTTTTATGGCAAGCACATGGGTTGCTGAAGACCTATTCTACCCCGGATCTTCACGGGTCAGTTATATTTTTGCACTTTGAAGACAAGGAGTGCATGTTGTATAATGACTCATGTGAAGATGGAGTAATCTGACAATATCATCCTTAGGTCGTGTCATCCACAGCAGTGGGCACGTTGACCTCAAGACTTCTTCGACAACCTGACTGCATCTCAGAGTCCCTGTGTTTTTGTTCATAGGCTCAAGCTTTCACCAACATTGTGCATGCGCATTGTAAGAATTGTCCTCAAGGAGAGATACATTTTGTTTATGATAATACATATGTTACCCTGTGGTTCCATAATGATTAGTATACTGATACTGTTAGGATAGCATTATATTATTCGATTATTTATTTAATTCGTAAATATCTCCAAACATAACTTGTACAGTGCAAAACACGCATTCGCTCAACGTCATTCGGTTTGACCACCCTGTCTAAACAATGGACTAGTACAAAATAACCCCACCACTCTCACGAGATTACGAGTACGGATGGGGGCGAACAACGAATACGCAGAATGAGCGAACTCATGAGTGAGTGAGTTTAGTTTTACGCCGGTCTTAGCAATATTCCAGAAATATCACAGCGGGGGACACCAGAAATACCATTCAAACATTGTATCCATTTGGAATCGAACCCGGGTTTTCGGTGGGACGACTGAACGCTTTAACCATTAAGCTACACCACCGCCCACTTAAAATATTGAGTCAATGTATGCGACAAATACACAAATGTATCTCTCAAAATCTTTTACGGAGTGTAAAATCTGAAATGTTTCTTCGAACAATCGTCGTCATCAGAGTACAGTGTTTGCCCATCAATATATTCCGTTTGATAGCATTTAGCGTGAGTGAGTGAGTTTGGTTTTACTCCGCTTTTAGCAATATTCCAGCATTATCACAGCGGGGAACACCAAAATTGGACTTCACACATTAGACCAATGTTGGGAATCGAACCAGGGTCTTCGGCGTGACGAGCGGACGCTTTAACCACTAGGCTACCCCACCGCCCCTATATCCCAGGAACCTAGTGCACAAAATAATACACAACCGCGTACACAACCACTTGGTACGGTGACAAAAGGGCCATTTTTATTCTATTCTGAAATGTATGAGGAATTCAAAACGGTGAAGTGTATTTTTGCGCATGATGTGTTGTACCCAAAAATACGTTTTACACTTGCATAAATGAATTGTACCCTAACCTGACGCATTTTAGCCGTGGTGACACCCGTATATATCCGGGTAAGAACTGGTTTACAGTAACCCATACTAAGTCTTGTCGTAAAAGGCGACTAACGGGAGCGGGTGGTCAGGCTCGCTGACTTGGTTGATAGAGGTCATCGTATTCCAATTGCATAGATTGGTTGACACATGATCATGCTGTTGATAACTGGATTGTCTGGTCCAGACTCAATTATTTACAGACCACTGCCATATAGCTGGAATATTTGTGAATGCAGCGTTTACAAACAAACAAAACCAACTGTGATGAACCAGGGGTGTACGCTCTTTTGTGAAAACGCGGCCCTGTACGTGTGCGGAGTCACGTGACCACCAACACGTGTGCAGAATGTGTTGTGATCAGAAAACACACGTTAACAATCCTTGAGAGATAAGCAATTCTCACGCCACGCCTTACAAAAGTTTACCGTGAACTTACAGTTGGCACGCTCCAGGGCTGCCAGTATACCGTGGCTATTGCCATGAGGTGCTGTTGACGGACGATTCACAACCTGAGGACACCCGCACATCAAACGGGTACGACATCTGATCGTCCAAGGTTAACCATGTGAAGTCACATACCGAGGACCAGCAAATCTGGCTACGTCATTTGCGTAATCGTTTATGACCGCAACGTCAAAGGCCTCTGAATGTTGTGGAATGACAACCTAAACCGCGCGTACGTCATGCCACGGCTTACAGAAAATCAGCGTCTTCGCGCCGTAGGTATGCCGGAGACTGGAATGACCAAAAATGAAGTGGCCAGATATTTTGGTGTCCATCGAAACACGATCTCATCTCTATGGAGAAATTTTCAACATAATGGGGACACAAGAAATTTGCCTCGAACTGGCCGTCCATGAAGGACGTCACGTCAGCACAACCACGTTTGGCTGACCCATGTAAGGAATCGATTCCAGACTTCCAGTTTGACTGCTCGGACCATTTCTGGCTTACGTCCAATTAGTTTCAGGACTGCACGGAACCGACTGAGGGAGAACAGCATCCAGGCCGACGGCCTGCAATACGTCCAATTTTGACCTAAGTCACCGACAGGCACGTCTTGCCTGGTGCAGACAGCTTCTACGGTACAGGATTGGGATGCTGTTTTGTTCACTGACGAGTGGAAATGTCATCTGGATAGGTCAGATGGCAGGGCAAGGGTGTACAGACGGCGAGGTGAACGGTAGGCTGACGCGTTCGTTGTTCAACGTCGACAGTGTACTGGCGGGAGCGTTATGGTATCTGGAGACGTCACATTTCATCGTCGGACACAACTTGTGCTTGTCAATGGCAATCTGACAGGTCTTCGATACTGGGGATGAGATCAATGGGTGTCACGTGCAGCCGTTCATTCAAGGACAGAGACGTCAGTTCACGCTTCAGCAAGCCTGTCCACATGTCGCCCGTGTTGTGACAGATTTCCTGAGACAGCAGAACATTCCGGTACTCCCCTAGTCAGGTGTTTCTCCGGACCTGTCCCCTACCGAGCACGCTTGGGGTGAAATGGAGAGACGTTTACGTCAAGCCCAGAATCAGCCCCTGTTGTTAGCTAAATGGGACAAGCGTTTGTTCAGATATGGAACAACATTCCCCAAGGTTTCTTCAATTGCTTAGTATCGTCTATGCGTCGTCGTTGTCAAGCCTGCATCAACGCCATTGGTGAACACACATGATACTGAATTTGTGAACTGACCTTTGACGCCATATCTCTTCAAGGGCGTGTCACGATGCCTTGTGACAAATCATACAGATTTCGATATTATTCTGTTAAACAGTGGTTAAGGAAAACACCACAAATCATGTTGCCATCCTTTTGCATTAAACAAATGTATAGCATCAAAAATGCACAGTTCCAGTAGTATATACTTGAAGTCCGACTTCGATGTGAAGGTTGACTAGGTGCGCCATATATGTCCCTCTGGCATTCAGGGGTGATCTATCAGTTCACAGTGTAAATACTTAATGCCATCTGTATCATCATAATGTAATACACTTATCACCTGTCAGGTAACACTGCACAAGACATATGATACATCCTAACCATGTTATATGTGATGACTCCAGTGTAATGTTACGTGCATGTCGCAATCGGCCGATTTACTCAACCCACCCACATATAATAGTACACCTTGCATATGCCCCAACAAACACAACATTTCAACATGGCGTCTTTGTGTCAATGTGTGATGTTCGTGTCTCTCTGTTTATTCCACGTTAACGGATTCACGCCTCGTGTTTGTAAGTATGAAAAACTAGGATATTGTCATAACGCTAAAATATTTACAGATGTTGCCATAATGGTTATCTTTGGTGGATAGAAAACGAATGTGTCTCGAACCCAAACATGGTTAAATCCTTATGTAATGGGAAATCTTAAATCCATTCTGATTTGTCTCTGTGTATGACTGTTTTTCTTTAATTAAAAGTAATTAACATAATTAATATAAGACAATGTGTGCGCGTACCCAGTTACAACTGGTCCGAGTAACCTGTGATGGACGTTGGCTGGTTGTTGTTTAACGCCGCACTCAGCAATATTCCAGCTATATGGCGGCGGTCTGTAAATAATCGAGTCTGGGCCAGACAATCCAGTGATTAACAGCATGATCATGTGTCAACCAAGTCAGCAAGTCTGACCACCCAACCCCGTTAGTTGCCGCTGAAGATCAATTCTAACCCGGATCTTCACGGGTCTGTGATGGAATGTATTTAGCCAACGAAATGGATTGGATGGTCAGGCTCTGTGACTGGTTGATGACCTAACATCTAAACCGGAAAACGTGCTCATAATATCAATATCAGGGTCATCTGGCCCTGGATCGATTTTTAACAAATAACACATCTAACTAGTATTGGATGAATATAGAAAGCCTCCAAGTAGATCCGGATCTTAATCAAATACTAAACGCCTCACTTCCTGTAATGTGTACTCACAATAAGGACATTGTGTCCACCTGATCCACTTTCGGCTGTTAACCTGAAAAATACCCATGGACAATACACAGCTTAGAAATAATACTTTGCACTATGCTTTGCATAAACAGCCGTAGCATTGGGTAGAGTGAGTGAATGAGTGAGTTTTGTTTTACGCCGCTTTTAGCAATATTACATTCCAGGGACATCAGAAATGGGCTTCACACATTGTAAGCATTGGCTTTCAAGTTTGTAACGAAATATACGCAAGGACGTTACAATGGAATTTGTTATTCCCCTACCTGCAACTGGGCTTTATGTATTGTAACATAGGCCTGTGTCCTCGTTTACTGAATAAATATCTCTCACTCGGCTTTAGGGAGATTAAACAAGGACTGGTGGGTTTAGACTATGACATGTCTGTCCATGTAAGACTACGGAATGGTAAAGCATTACCAGTCATGACTAGAGCAAGCAAGCCCGCACACACGCATGCACACACGGTCGCACGCGCGCTTGTAACTATAGGAGTAACTACGTTGATTTTGAATTAACA